AAAAAAAGTAAAAAAGGCGCAAAACAAATTGCCGATACCACTAAAAATTTTTCCAAAAAATGGGTATTATCCAGCAAAAAGTGTGCTACTTTTTTTTAGCTTTCAGGAGATCCCATCAGTCACAACACATTAAAGATATTTATATAAGTAAAAAGTGTTTATTAAAATTAAAACAATTGCTGAATCTAAAATTTGCTGTTTGTTTGGTTTTCCATAACTGTGAAAAGGCTTCTGTAAAGTTCAGCAAAAAATCGTTTTCAACAGAATATTGAATCAAAAAATTTCAGAAAATTAGCCGAAAGCGTGTCCATTTCGCAACACACACACATTTCGGACTCGCGCACTTTAATGGATCCAAAAACGGATGAAACATCAGCTCTTTACACGAAATTGTTTAAATTTTCAAAAACGTTTCCGGATACATTGTAGTATGTCGGGGCAAGGGTTATTACTGCAGCTAGCTTCTTCGAAACTGTTTGGGCTTTTTATGCTGTTAGAAAAACAACAACAGCTGGAACCGTTAGTATTCAGATCTACATATGTTCGATTTTGCAACGCAAATTTGGCTATCACATGATGTTTTATATCGTAGTCGATCTTCTTTTCATAATGGAAATAATGCCATTAACCGTGCGAGTAAATCCCTGGATTTTCTAAGTTTTATTCGACTTGCGGTATACTTCATATGTATGCAACTAGGAAAACGATGCAAGTATTGAAAACGAAATCGACAGCTATGCAAATCGATAAGCGGTATCGATTTTTAAATGATATATAGATTACAATGTACTATGCATATATTTTTAATAAAAGCGGTAAAAGCAACAGAATTGAGGTCTATAAAAATTTATAATTTAAAATCGATGGTAAAAATCTATTACAAAAAATCGATAACCATGCATAGATAGCGATAACAATATCGATGAAGATGAGAATTTCGATAACCCGATGAGGGTATCAACGTCGGCAATGATGCCAATGCCGATAACGATAACAAAAATAATAACGATAATTGTATCGAAATCAATAATTATTGATAATGATACAAAAATATTACAACAGCACTGATAACGATAAAAATGCCGATTATGATATGGATAACAATCTTA